CAAGGCAATTTGCTCGAGAAAGCGTCAGAAGAAAAAATGATTAAATCCTAGGAAAAGACGATGCACATTTGTTGCAAAAATGATGAAATTAGGCACAAGGGTCAATTCCTCGGAAGTTTTAAAAAATGACAAGGCAAACTTTTACTTAGACAGGGCGAATGTGCATAACTTCGTCCAACTGTGCCAGCTCGACTTGCACCAACTGACTTCGACGCTGGTCTGATTTCAAGCAGTGCCTAAAAGAAACCATGGTGAGCTTACTAAAATGTCAGGTTTTAAATACAATGAACAAAAAATTATGTTACGTTCCGAATGAGAATTAATTAGTTTCTTCTGGATGAAATGCGCCAAAAAAAAAAATGTCTTTTGCGATGACTTACACAGCCCACTTCGTAAGAAATTTTTCATCGGTACTTTTGCCGGAACATAAGTGAGCCGGATAAAAAATGCCCAAGTACCAGATTTCGGGGAAGTGGATATGGGAGACTTTTAATTTTTTAATATTGAGAAATAAGAAGGAATTTATGCTCAAAGAGTAGCAAAAAAAGATCCTTGCGTCACCAAAAAGCATACCGGCCAAAGAATTCAAACTGCGAACGGAAGCCTAATGTAGAGCGAGCAAAAAAATGGCGCGCAGGAAAAGCAAACAGCAATCCAGAATCGCGCAGCAAATTGACCTATGATCTGTCCCGCCCTTCGTGATGAGAATTTAAGCCTGTAAATTCGCTATAAATTTCAGTGTGTATTCAGTGTTCAGTATCATCGTCCAGTGCGTATTCCGTATTCATCGTCGGCGTTCACTGTTTCCCGTGCTCAGTGTTCCGGCTTTGTCCAATGTTCACTGCAGCAGTGGTTTGCTGCGTTCCAGTAATCAGCACTCTTAGTCTGTAGCGGCTGTCGCTGCAACCGTCCGACTTGATCCCGTCGCCCCAACGACTCACATGTAAACTTATACTGGTGCTGATAAATTTCGTTTGTTTACTCCAGTCTCTCCACTAAGCGCCACAGACATCAACGTTCATCCAAGTCTCGTCCGAAGCTTGTCGTAACAGCATCGTAACGTCGTCGTAACACTAATATTTACTTACATCAATGCTGACAGAACACACATTAGGAGAATATTTGGTACTTTTTTACTATCGTATACAATTGCATTCCATTGTGCAATGAAGTTGTAGCGTTCCTTACCCATCACTGCTTAAATGACACACTTGAACGGCTACATGACGGCAACTACTAAAACTTGGCTCAACTCGGTAGCACAATACACAATGTAATCTTTCTAATCTAATCTAACCTAATCCAATCTGATCTATCTAATCTAATCTGTACACTCACTTTAGGCTTCAGGTCGAGATGTAAAATTCATGCTGACGAGTTCTTTTACTAAGCGTGGTCTTAGGTCCGCGTTTAAAAATTCCTCTCAACAACAGGCTTCAAGCTAAGCAAAAAAAACCTACATAAATTTCGCCTGCGTTTTCAATCCCCTACTTGCAAACGGGGTCTTAGTTCCCTCGCGGTAATAACCACCCTTCCCCTCCTCCTTTCCGTTACGACTCTCCGAGGTCTAAACCATTATCCTCGGCTGTCACTTCCCTCCTTCCTCCCTCCTCTCTCGCCGTCAATCCTCTGTCCTCCACTCGCCGTAGTCACTACGATTTGCTTTTCTGACCTGATTCAGCCTAGTTCTAGGCGGCGTCGATCAGAACGACCACGGCAGTGACTCAACGGCAGCTGCTCAAAGCATTCAAGAAGCATTCTCATGCAAATGACTTACAAGATGAATAATACTGAGATGATACAAAAAAGCAAACAAAAAAAAAAGAGAAAATACCCGGCCAGTTTTTAGGCTGAAGGCATCAGGCAAATGTCTGCTGTAGTTTGCATCGAAAAATTTCTTGAACCACTGAAGGAACTCCAAGTTGTCTTGAAATTTCGCTCGAATTAGACGTTCAACAGGCACATTCTGAATTAAAATATCTGTTGCATTGAAACATTTATTAATAACACAATGATACTGCTCATTCTCACGGCCACTCGACTTTCGACAGTTCCATAAACAGTCCCAAAAATTCATAAGTCATTTCGATTTTGCCTAAGCAAAGACATGCGAAAACCTCATCAAAATTACAGGTAATGCATTTTTACGAACAATCTTGTCGTAACACCTTCTATTCAGAACTCCAGTTTTTAATCTTTACCACTGCTAAATATTGCAAGAAAAATGTCAAAATGCATGAGGTAAAAAATACCTTTCGCACTCCGATTCTATCCCACACCATTTGCAGAATGTGCCAGTTGGAAATCCAATCACTCTCCTTGCTCGAGTTGAATTTCACCTTTTTAAGCGGTAATCTACCCGGGAAAAGCACGTCCGTTAGCTGGCAATACGCAGCTCCCGTGGCCATCTCCTCAATATGCGTGAATCTTGTCTGCAAATTAAGCAAATTTCAAAAGTTTTTTATTCAAGTTTGTTCTGTTCTCCTATCCCACAGATGTCCTCATCTTATTCCTGCCAGGCTAACAGTAGGCCAAAGGACAAGAAAATTTTGATAAAGATATTATTACAAGCTAATTTTAAAGATACATGGCCTGATTTAACAAAACTAGCGGCAATGTTCTGGTTCTAACAAGCAGAAAGTCCTTGAAAAAAAGCACTGTTCTGATACCAATTTAAGGTTAAAAGAAAAATGTAAGAATGATGATGGAAAAATATAAGAAAGAATGATGGAAAGGGTAAGAAAGGAAGGATGGGAAAAAGAAGTATTAAATTAGGTAAGAAATGTTTCGATCCATTAATTCGTATACATTTCTTACCGCTACCATAGTTGGACTTCGTCAGTACAAATGTATATAACCCACCAATGAGCTCAGAAAGAAGCTGAGAAAACGATGCAAAATTACGTGAAAGTTTAACAAATTCAAAAGACAAAAACCAAAATCAGCGAAAAAGTGTTGATTTGGGGATAAAAGCAGAAAAGCCGGCTCGAAATGAACGCTGAACTGGAAGGCAATTCCGGGTACAGAAACAACGGCGTACCCCGATGAAGCTGTTGACGAAGGCCAGAAGTTCGGTGCGCGAGCACTGCTCCACTGTGGATGCTGTCGTGTATACGTTCACCACTGCCCTATCACACTCGGAACCATTCATCATCGCCATATCACTTCTCAAA